ACGAAGCCAGCACCGGGCGCTGGGCTGGGCTGAGCCCCGCCGGTTCCGGGGCAGCTCCAGCTCAAGCCACTCCAGGAGTTGCTGCTCTGCCACCGGGAGGTGAGTCGGGGACCCCTCTGCTCCAGGACACCCCTCGAAGCCCCCAAATCCCCCCACCCTGGGCTGGATGGGGGCACCTTGTCCCCACAGCTGCCACCCTGGGACACCTGCACCCCACGGGGCGTGGGGAACGCTGGGGTGAGCCCAGCACTGCCCTGGAGCTCTGGGGGGCTCTTGCTTTGGCTCCCACCCGTGGGTGCTCGCCCCGGGGTCCCACACCCAGCAGCACGGGGGGCTCGGTGCCTGTGCCCTGCGCTGGGCGAGGCCGCAGGGACCCGAGGGAGGTTCTGCCACCCCCAGAGGCTGCTGGAGCCACCCCCTGCATTGCCCCGTTTGCCCCATCCTTCCTTCCCCACCTCCTCGCCCGTGAACTTTCCCCGGCCCCGATAAGCGGGGTGGGTTTACAGCCCCGGGCTCAGCTGTAAACCGGGGGTGAAGGTCACCCGGGGAACGCGGCTGTGCTGTCAGAGGCAGGTGAGGGTGCTGCAGACGGGATGGTGAGGGGGGGAGCTGTGCGGGCTCTCGGGGGTGACCCGGCTGGGGGTGGGCTGGAATCCCCTCCCTGCCCCGGTTTCCCCCCGCCAGGAAGGAGGGAGGAAGCGGAGGCTCAATTCATCCCTGCTCCAAGAATAGGATCCAGGTGTCCGTATTTCCTGGCCGGGCTCTGCTTCCCCGCCAGCGTCCGGCTGCCCCCAGCCCCACCGCGGGGTCCTGGGCACTCGGGGGCCCCGCGAAATCGCCCTCTGTGGATGCGTGGCCGCCTCGCCCCCTGTCCCCGGGGGCTGCCTGCCCCGGCGTCAAGGGGGACAGCCGAGACCCCAGGGGCTGCTGGGGACCCGGGCGGTGTTTTGGGGAAGGGGCTGCACCCCCGCGGCTGCAGCCCCCCCCTCTGCCGTGCCCCAGCTGCCCCGGAGCTGCCTGGCCATGG